ATCTAAAAGCGTAAATCTTCTACTTTACAACGCTTTCCTCCGATTTTCAAAGCATTGCCAATGAAGACAGCTACTGTCTTCCAAAGAGTGGGAACTCGCATGTAAATTTCAATTTCCTCGACAATTCCTCGACGTCTCCCACTCTCGAGAATAGGCGTGCTTAGAAAAACGCTCAGCACAATTTAGAAACTAGAAGTCTTGTGCATTCAAAAGCTGCCTTCACTTTCTGAAATGGTTATCAATGAAGAAAGTTATAGTCCTTTAAATAGGGGGTACATTTGACGATTTTTCCAACTAGCGCGCTCTAGGCACAGCGCGCGACGCGATCGCGGGTAGTTAGCGCCGCTATACTGGAGCGCGAGACTGTTCAACTGTGTAGGGGCAGTACCTCCTTCAATGTTCTACTTTCCGGCCAATGTGGCAAAGGTTAAATGTCTTTAAAGGAAAGAAGGAGAACCTAATCTGAGCAGAATTGAATCTAGCATTTGGATCAAGCCGCATTTGCGTGGCAGCGGCGCTGCGTCCCTCTCGCACATCTGAAACTAGCATTTTTTGATATGAAACCGGATGTGCAGAGGACAAAAAGGGGTCGTATCAGAGTCCATGTTTTGGAGGGGGGTCGTAAAGAGGCGGTTATTTCCTCGACACGATTTTCACCCTGGCTGTCAGACTGCGATGAATCGCTTGCCAATTGCGCGATTCGCTAGCGAATCAGCTCGAGCGATGCGCTGGCTAATAATCGTGGTTTCTGTGGAGGGGTCGTATGGAGGTTTCCTTCAAGCTAGTAGTGGTCGTGACCCCGTCAAGAAGGTGTCGTGAAATCTTCGAGATTTGCTTAACCCATTCGTGACAATGGCATTCACCGGTGGCTGCCGGTTTCAAATGGAATTTGGAAAGTTTTCTTTCATGAAAAGAATCTTCATACCCTCATTCATCTACGCCAGCCCTGGGCAGAGGAAATCTCCATCCACTCAAATTTTATTGAAGAAAAATCTCCTGACTCTCCTGCTATTGCGCAATCCCGCGCGGTCGCGAATGGGTTAAGGTCACGGTTGATGTGGTACTGAAGCCGTCCGATTTGAAGTACACATTCAGCGCTGTTGATTTTACTACTCAAGATATACGATCGCTTCCCCATCTCCGTTGTTTGAAGGTGTCGAGACTATGTCGTTAAACCTCGCGTTCTGCGACAAACTTCAGACTATCTCTTCCCCCCCCCCCCCCGCCAAAAAAAATCCAAGAGTCCGTCGAGCACTCACAAGAATCTGATTTTTGAAATTTTCAAAAAGTTCCCCTTTTCAAAAGAATATCCTCTGCTCATATTGTTTCAAAACGTGGTGCTGTCCACCTCGCCACAATCCAATCAAAATTACGAAAGGCCACCCCTTCCTTTTGGACATGATAGAAGTAACGGTTGACCGTGAGCCAAAGACCAACATAAGATAATAGGGCAAAAAAGTCTGGTTTTTTGACGACCATTCAGTTTTTCCCGCACTTCTATGGTGAAAGAAAATAGGTAGAGTGTCTTCGCTAGGGATTTCAATAAAGGGGTCGGCCACTGTAAGGGTTTAGTGCCCCTTTCGGAAATGAATGTATTTTTATTCTGTTCCGACTCCTCAAAGCATCCATAATAGGTTTATTGCTTCACTACGTGCTAAACCAATCAGTTCCTTCGAAAAAAAGTTTCTTTTTCAGAAAGCGCATAAAGAGCACATGGAAGACTATGATGAGAAGCCCCGTGCCACAGTGACCTGTCCGTTGTGTCACGAGCTGTTCCGCACAGGATATGAGCTCTCGTCGCATTGTAACGAAGCACATAATGGCGAAAATGACCAAGACTTCTCAATTATCGAGGGTGTGTTTGCGAGCGAAGAAGAATTCAACGTAAGCTTTTACAATGTCTTATAACCATTATTAGGTTGGTCCATAATTTTGTGCCACTTTGGGATTTTTGTTGTATTTTATTATACCTTTGGATTATTTTCTCGATGTGATTTATACATGACAAGGTACAACACTTTAGCAACACATGTTGAAGGCTTATGATTAAAAGCGGGATCAACCGTTTGTTGGATTCTTACTAAGAAAGGGTCGCTGTGCTGTCATAGTTGGGGGGGGGGGGGGCACGCGGCTTCTCCAAGAGCTTAGTCCCGGAGACAGTCACTATTACGCCATCAAGTGACATTTTCAAAGTACGCGCCATCGAGTAAGCCTTGCAAGAGGAGAGGAACAGAACGCCGCGTGGTCCCCCTCCAAATAATAAGATAGCACCGGAGCCACATATGACTTTTAGTGGCAAGTCGTATTTCCTCCCGCGGCGATGGGGTCTTACAAGGGAGGTCTTTCAGGGCAAGGTGCGCTTTTTCAAAACGGTTTTGTGCATATTGTAGGGACGCATGTAGGGAACGCAAAACCATGTTTCATTTTCGCTGAACGGTTATAGCAGTACCAAAAAAAAGCATAAGGTACTGTTAAGGGTTCGATCCCCCGTGGCGACTAAATTTTGCATTTGGGTTGGCGCCAGATGTCAAATTCATCGTCAGGACCATTTTGAAGCCAACAAGTGGCCGCCAACCTTGATTGCAAAATTTAGTCGCCGCGGGGATTGAACCATCAAGAGTATTATTCACCACTTTTTTGGTAAAAAGCGCACCTTGCCCTGAAAGACCTCCCTTGTTAGTTGTGGAAGAAATAGTTGAAATGAATGGAGAAGCGCTATCCCTCCTCGCTAATTCTGGAAGAAGTTTCGAGGATGAAGTTGGGCTGTGTCAGGTGATAGCAGACTCAAGAAAACCATGGACTATTGAGGAGGGTTGCATGTATGTATCTAGAAGCTCCTTCTATGGTGAGAGGAGTCGTTGAATTTTTGAAACCGTCCCAATGGACCGCCGACCCTTCTTGAGAGCAATATGATGCCCCTCTTTCAAAACTCAGCGCAGAAAAACAGTAAAACACTAACTCCTCACAATTCTCACTTCAACGCTTCTCACAGATCTTTTTCGAAATCAGCAGTGAAGGCTCATTCGTATACAGTTATTATCAAGCTTTCGCTGGATCAACAGCACATATCAAGTACATAAGATACATGGCACTGCATTTCTTAAAAGCATAAGCTCGCAAAAGTACTGACCAGTCTGGTGACAATAACCGCTAAATTCTGCAATACAATATATACAGAAGTGATAACTGTTAAAGACACAATGCAACGGAAGGAACGGCTTACCCCCCCCCCCCCTCCCCTCCCCACAACTCCCACTTCTAACAGAAAAAATCTAAATATCGATTTAGCCACTTTGATATGCTGGAGAGCGAAATATGTAGGTGACCGATAATCCATTGGCACCTTCCAACGACGGCTCAGGGTAGCCCTTTTTTGGTTAGATCAAGTAGGATTTGCCTGCCAAAAGTCGCGGAATCCTGAGATAGGGCTCTATAAACTCTTGTAGGGTCTCAGCCAGCTACGTACTTTACAGCAGTAATGAGTAGAGGTACAGCGAGAAGTCAAGAGAAATACGGTGATGTCAGATAATTGTATTTAGTACTTCAGGTTGCTGCGTTGAGAGGCATGTCTCGAAATCAGTTTTTTTTTGTGAAAATATTTATAATATTTAACGTAGAGTAACTGAAAAATTGTGGACCAACCTAATGTTATCTACGTCAGCGTACAACATTTTTCTCTTTCTCAAGGGATGGATGGATTCCGTGGAATGTTTGACAAAGGTGCGATTTATGAAGAGAACTTCTCGAGCCTGCCGAAATGGAAGGAATCATCTCTTCGTTTGTGAGCATGCTAGAGGGAAAGGAGACGTTGTTGATCCGAAAGAGATGCAGCAGCGGTTTTCGAAGAGCAAACGTGTTCACTCGCATTGCCCAGCTTTTGTTAAAGTATTTAGCTGAAATTCTATTAGTTGCATGCAGCGGTCCAAAAAATTCCACTATAATCCGGCATCAGACTTTGCAATTCGCCGAAGCGCAGAGCGCTAGCGATGCACCAACGCTCCGACCAATGATCCACGATCCGAGAGTGCGGGAAAGTGGTCAGATTGTCTCTCATTCGCACGTTGATTCTCGCTTATTTCGCCAGGGGTTGCGAAGGCTTAAGCATGGAAAAGTGACGAACAATCGTGCAAAATGGTGAGGCGCTGCCCGATTTCCCCACATGCTCACATGCGACATTCTCAGAACCACTGATGTGCTCCGCCAGTGGCGTATGCCTCGCCCCCGATCGCTGCGATTCACAAGGTCTGCACTGGCCATATGCGCATAAGCCAACATCAAAATGGCTTTTTTGTGTTGTTTCTCGTTCTTATCCGGGATGCGTCTTCAAAGCGTAGGTTTTAATGCATTTGGAAGGGTCATAGTGGAGTGGAATGCTTAATATTCACCAGCGCGAAAAAGCAAGAAATCATTTGAAATGACCAAATAGGCCCTTTCTTTCGATGGATTGAACTCGACTTATGACGCTTAATAACCACTGTGAGCTTACGTTTGGCATTCAAACTATATCCACCGTCTACGCGTTAAACATACTGAATGATGGGACATTTCATGAGAAATAATACCTTATCTAAAAGACCAGAGCAATGATGCTGCTAGCAACACACTGATGGGCTTCGGAGGCGGAGCTTAGAAGATTTGCTGTTCTAGGGCGCTAAATAGCACGCCTTTGTCCACGAAAACTCCACATCTCGCTCCCCTTGGTCCTCATTAGTGCTTTCAACACACAAATCATCGGAATCCCTCGCTTTAAGCTAAAGGTTTATGAGCGCATGACATTATGTTTCCGTGTGTCTTGACGTCGACACAGTGGTGAGTTTCATTTATGTTATGGTATGAAATATTCCCATTGTACCGTGACATAGCAAAATAGACGGCCGTTGAGCCGCGCAGCACTAAAGTGTCCTAACTTTTTGATTCCTCGCGGAGCAGTCTGCGTCAGGTGCCAATAAGATTACTTGATTAGCAGCGGTCTGAGAACCGTCTTTCTGGCCGTACAGAAATTTTTGAATGTGCAGTTCGGGCAACGTCACGAGTTGTGACCCAATAGTCACCCTGCCAAACACAACTTGGTCGTCAAACTTTGGGGCTGTGTGCATCAGTGTCCGGTCGGGGATGGGTCTCCAAAACTCTGCGCCCATTCCGTCGCGATGACGAGATCCTGCATGGTCAAGAATAGGAGATGCTTCCAGTGAATGCCGTTTGCGGACCATCCGATCGGGTACTGCACACGAACTGGAATCTTCAACTGGTTCGACGTATTCTGATGAAGTACTGATTGATGAATCGCTGATTTGACTCAGCTTATGTAAGTGCCCCAGTACAAATTTATCTAGTTGTGCTATTTTTGGATGCATATGAGTAAACATTCCAGTTAGGAGCATATAGGGGCTCGAAAAGTTTTCCTTGCGCTCTCTGTAGATTAGCTAACTGCTCAGGGAGCGAAAGTGCTCGTGACGTTCAGTTAGTTGCTCGTAGAAGTAAAGTAAGAAGGCCCAGGAAGTCTAATCATATGCATGAGAGAAAAGATTCTCTCAGCTTCATAAGGCATGATCAAGAGTCATTCAATCAATATCATTGCTGTATTATGGATTTTCCAGATTGTGGAAAACCACGAAGATGGTTCGAATGAACTGCGCTATGTAGCGTGCCTGGGTCATTTAGGCCACAAAATAGGCCATGAATCACTCAAACCTGAGAAATACACTCACAAGCATTTCAACAATCATCAGAAACACAAGGAAGCGCTACGTTATTATGGCGATAAACAGGTTTATAATCATTTTGTAAAACTGAATTTCAGTGAAAACCCTAAAGTTTTGTTTCTGTTCCAGGATATGATAGTCGAGTTCTCAGACAACACATGGGTAGTTGTGGCGGAAGGAGGTGAAGAGCACTGCGTTTCTGTCGGCAGTCCTTGTCGTGGCAGATGTGATAACAAGGTGTGACTCTTGTCCTTTTGTGTTAAAGGAATCCTTCACGGAAAAATCATGATTCTATTTCAGCCATAAATCACTGGCTTGAGACCCATATCCACGATAAGAATGAAAAGAACAAAAATATTGCTTTTGTTTTGGTAAAAAATTCGAAAAATCGAAAGGGCTGCTACGCGTTCAAAGTGCCCACGGACGTCTTTCACAAATGCTGCGGGATGCTTCCACTTGGTTCTTGGAGTGCCTTCACTAGAAACTCTTTCTGGCCTTTTGACTTTTAGTGCATTCACATCTCACACTTTTACTCCACCCTATTCTATCGATCAGGGCGGAAGTGGTGTAGTGGCAAGTGGCGCGCTTACCACGCGAGCGGTCCGGGGATCAAATCCTGGGTCGTGAGTCGCCCGGGCCAACCAAGCCTTCCATCCCTCCGGGGTCGGTTAATTGGTACCAGACTTGTCTGGGAGGATAAAACACTGACTTGTACATCGGCTGGCCCCCGCAAGTCATTGTATAGGCCACATCGCATTCAAACGCCACTACGAATGTACAAATGGAAGTAGAATGCGTGCCGCATCCCAAAAAGGGATTGATCAACGGCAAATGCTTTATCCTTTTTATTCTATCGATCGATTTGTCTCTACTCTCCGAAATCGCGCGCTTTAACCCGATTCTTTCATTGCGTCGCCTGATACGTAGGCGCCCCAGTGCGGACTTATTCCATGCCCCGCCTTTGGCTCCGCCCGAATTACCTTCGATTGTCCATAGAATGGATTTTCGTGAGTTTGTTTCTCTTCGGAAACCGAACCTTCATGCGTAAAACTTTGTGTATTGCATCTAGTGATCACAACTGATACATTCATGTTGGAAAAGATTGCAAGAATTTCCGCCAAGGATTTCTTTGAGGGAGCTCAGCTGGTTACTCTCTAGCGTGTTCCACAAGTCTATTTATCACTGCGAATAGAAGAAAAACTAGACCGTTACGTTGGGAGGAAAGCTGCGTGAACGTTTGCTGACATATTTTATTGGTGGTGGTCCTCTGACTCTTATACGGACCTGTGTAAGACAAAAACAGCGGCGTGCGTTACTAATGACAGAAGGCAGGCTCCAATATAGCGATAGGAGTAAATCAGCCTCTTTTGGTCTGTATGCACCATGCACTTGACTCCTTTTGAAACTCGTGAAATCAGTTCTATTGCAGCCTACTTTCTGATATTCTATGGTAGTCTCGAACTTTTCTCTGTATAGAACACTGGCATCGGTCGCATACAGGGGGTGCCGCAAATATGTTAACAAAGTGTTTGTGGCAGAGAAACCCTAGTTCAGAATGATACACGATGAGACTTTGCACATAAATAAATATACATAGCATCAACAGAAACGCGGCAAGATAGTCAGAAATTGTTGCATCCGGCATAAGTTACAGCTCCTGGAAGCTTGTTTGACGCTCAGGCGTTGGCACCAGCGTCAGCCGTCACGTTCACACTTTTTCAAAAATTTTGCGACCCCCCCCCCTTGAGGGGGTCTCGATGCGACCCACCCAAAACCACCAGCAGTCTTCGAGGCTCTTCCAAAATAATCCCCTGTCACCTTCTCCGAAAATCACCACCCTCACTATCATGGCTATTTCTATAGTATATGATCTGAGAACAGTTGGCGCAGCTCAACTCCGCTCCGTTCCCCTCCAAAGCGACCGTTGAGCGGGGGGAGGGAGTAAATTAGTATCATGAAACGTCAAATCCACCAATTGTTGCCTAATTCTCACTGCTTCTCTAAAACTATCACCAAATTCGTCAAAAAACCCACCCAAACACAACCCCTTTCAACGACCTCCGTTCCCACTATGGTAACCTTGCTCAACCCCAAAATGCGACCCACCCCTTCCCGAAATCACAAATGCGACCCCTCGTTCGAATAGTGCGAAGGAACGGTTGACCCTGGTCAGCCCGCAGCACTCCACCCTTTTCACTGACGAAATATTCGTTAATTCAGAAAAGAATTATACGTTTCTAACTTCTATCTGCTTGCTACCAGGATTCATTAAATTGATGAGAACGCTGATCGTTTCGCACCCATTTATCCTCTTCTGAGGTACCCTGAGCTGCAATTTTTACTACTTGACGAATGGCTATCATTTCGAGCAGGGTCAACTGTTCGTCCGGCCGATCTAGACGGGAGATCGTATTTCCGATTTTTAAAGCGAGGGATTACGATAAGTTTGGACTGGGTTCATAGTGGAAGTGGAGATGCTGAATAATGCCCCAGTGGCGAAAAAAGCAAAGAAATCCGTCAAGAAGGCGCAAAATGGGACCCCTTTCTTTGCCCGTTGACCTCCGATAATGGACGAGCTAGCAACCAATTAGGAGGTCGTTTGCACATGTTATGCTGATAGCCTCTATCATTTCAGCAAGCATCATGCTTTGATTGATCACGCATCCCATGAAAAGTTATAGGATACTCTGGAAGTGGAATATCTCGTCACATTGGCAATCGAAGGGCGCTGCTGCTGGGGGCGGAGCACAGACCGTGGCGGGGCTCAGAAAGGAATGGCAAGCCTTGTACGCTGCAACTAGCGCACCTTTGACCACAAAAACGCAACATTTCGTTTCCTTGGGCCCCTGACTACTGCTTCCAATGGTGCATGTACTTCCACGCTGCATACGCACTTTATCGTAATCTCTCGCTTTAAGAAGGAGAATCGTACCGGGGGTTCACGAAAGCGAAATTTCGGGAGGGAGGGGGAGGTTGTATTTTTTCAGAGTTGAAGTGGTCGCGGTTGTTCGGCGAAGTGAAGTGAAGTATTCAGATAAGGAATGTAAACCGTAACAGACAAAATAAGAACAGCTCTCATTCCTTTAGATATGCTACACTTTATTCCCCTTTCCTCATCCCACCT